GTGTATTCCCTGAATTAGAGTCCTTTCATTTGTTCCTATTTTTTCATTGATGGTGTTCATAATTCTGAGATTCATACTTATGTCTTTAATCCATGCTGAGTTGGTTTTTGTATAAGGTGTGAGGTAAAGGTCTTGTTTCAATATTTTGCATATCACTTTCCAGTTATGCCAGCACCATCTGTTGAGGAGACTATCACATCCCCATGTGATATATTTAGTCACTTTTTCTAAATCAGTTGGCTGTATGTGGATGGGTTAATTTCTGGCTTCTCAATTCTGTTCCATTGATTAATGTATCTTTTATTGTACCAGTGTCATGCTGTTTTGACCATTGTAGCTGTGTAATAAATTTTGAAATTGGAGAGTGAAAGGTTTCTAACCTTATTCCTCTTCTTAAGCAGTGTTTTGCTTATCCTGGGTCTCTTTCCTTCCCATGTAAAGTTTGTAAATGTTTTTTTCCATATCTTTGAAGAATGTTGTTAGAATCTGGATTGGGATTGCATTATATGTGTAAATAGCTTTAGGCTGTATTGACATGTTCACAATTTTAAGCTTTCCTATCCAGGTGCATGGTACACTCTTCCATTTTTGTCGATCTCTTTTAGTTTCTTTTAGTGGTGCTTTGTAGTTTTCTTTGTATAGATCTTTTGTTTCTCTGGTTACATTTATTCCCAGATATTTTATCCATTGGTTGGCCACTGGAAATGGTATTGCTTTACTAATGTCCTTTTCAGTGCTGTCGTTTTTGGTATAGAGGAATCCAACTAATTTTTGTATGTTGATCTTATATCCTGCCACTTTGATGAATCTTCTAATGAGGTCTAGTTGCTTTTTTACTGAGTCTTTGGTGTTTTCTATGTATAGAATCATATCATCTGCAAATAGAGAGAATTTTTCTTCCTCTTTGCCAATTTGGATGCCTTTAATTTCCCTGTCTTGCTGTATAGCTCTTACTAAAACTTCCATCACAATATTGAATAGGAGTGGTGACAAAGGGCATCCTTGTCTGGTTCCTGTTCACAGAGAGAAGAGTTCAGTTTCTCTCCATTGATCATAATGTAGGCTGTTGGTTTTGTATATACGCTTTTAATTATGTTGAGAATTGCACTTCAATTTCTACTTTGTTGAGGGTTTTTGTCAGGAATGGATATTGGATTTTGTCAAATGCCTTTTCTGCATCAATCGATATGATCATGTAGTTGTTTTTTTTTTTTTTCCTTATTTATATGGTGGATTACGTTGATTATTTGTCTAGTGTTGAACCATCCTACCATCCTTGCATCCCTGATATGAATCCCACTTGATCATGATGTATTATTTTTTTGATGTGCTGCTGGATTCTGTTGGCTAGGATTCTGTTGAGAATTTTTGTATCTATGTTTATGAGGGATATCGGTCTATAATTTTCTTTCTTAGTGATGTCCTTCCCTGGTTTTTGTATGAGGGTTATGCTTGCTTCATAAAATGTATTAGGGAGTTTTCTATTCTCCTCTGTATTCTGGAATAATTTGAGTAGAATTGGTAATAGCTCTTCTCTGAATGTTTGGTAGAACTCCCCAGTGAAGCCATCTGGACCTGGACTTCTTTTGGTTGGGAGTTGTCAGTTTGTCCTAACATGGTGACTTGTGTTTTGCTGTGAGCAGGAAGCTATGTCACTGGTGTTTCAAATACCAGCAGGTTCACACATAGTCCATAGGTTTCAGCAAATCTTCCAGACTAATAATAAACTAGTCCACTTCTGAGGAATTAACCCATGAAAATCTTATGAGTAGCAATGAAATTTTGTCTGATTTAGTGCCAGAAGGTGAGCCCCTCAGTTTAGAAAGCACTCAAAATATGTCTGAGGAAGTACTGACTCCTCAAAATATAGTAGATGTTAATGACATGGAAGGAACAGTGTTTCTAGACTTTCATTTGCTAATGGAACATAAGGCTAAGTGAGAGGAAACAAACACATACTGATAACTGGACCTTGGAATGTACAAAATATGAATCTAGGAAAACTGGAAGTTGCAAACAATGAAACGGAACACATAAAGGTTGATATTCTAGCCAGTAGTGAACTGAAATGAACTGCTCTTGGCCACTGGAGAAGGATATTATGTTTGGTAAAATGGAGTGTCAAAGAAAAAGAGGAAGACCCCTAACCAGATGGATTGGCACAATGACAGCAGCAATGGGCTCTAATGTAGCAATGATTGTGAGACTGGCACAGGACCAGGCAGTGTTTTGTTCTGTTGTGCATAAGGTTACTATGAGTTGGTACTGACTTGTTGTTGTTGTTAAGTGCTGTCGAGTAGGTTCTGACCCATAGCAACCCTGTATAGGGTTTCCAAGGAGATGCTGGTGAGCTTGAATCATCAACCTTACAGTTCAAATGGCTTTGCAGTCTGGCACATTAACCCACAGTGTCACACCAGGACTCTGGTACGGACTAGATGGCACCAAATAACAGCAAGTCAAAGAGTATTAGTAACTACTACAGTTCCAGTTCAGCACAGGGTTATTCCAAGCAAAATGTATTTAAATATGTTACTGCAATTAGTGCATGGCTACTGACAAGTTCTCTGAATAATGTACTTGTCTTAGTTTCATAAGGTACCTTCAGAAAAAAAGGATAATTTTTGTGCCATCAGGGGGAAAAGTGATTCTGAGTTTTGGGCTAATATCAAATGTTTAACAGAACTCAAATGGGCATCTTACTGTTATTGAAATTTTGCAACAAGTTTATGTGAATGCTGTCACACAAAAAAACAACAGATGGATCAAGCAATTTAAGGAAGGTTGTTGTTGATAAGGTTAATAAGACCTTAAAGATGAACCAACAGAGGGAAGACAGTCAATCTTGACAAATGAAGAAACTGTAACAGAAGTCCAGAAACTGGTTGAAGCTGGTGAAAACTGACTATAGAATTACAATTGATATGATAACTACTCAAATTGTAATCTCACATGGTTTGGCATTTTCAATTTTAAGAGAATATCTTTGCTTCAGGAAGCAAAAAGCATTGTAGGAATTAAAAATACAATAGCTAGGGTTAGGTGCAACTTAGTCTTTAAAGTTACATCTTTACTTTTCAACACATTAGAGCTCTTTTGTCAATTGAGTTGGCCAATTTAGTATATCCTTTGATTTCTTGACTGCTATTTCCATGAATATTGACTGTGGATTCAAGTAAAATGAAATCCTTGACAACTTCAAACTTTTCTTCATTTATCATGCTGTGGCTTATTGGTCCAGTTGTGAGGATTTTGTTGAGGTGTAACCCATACTAATGTCTGTGGCCTATGATCTTCAATAATATATTCTTTATGCCCTCTTAGCTTTAAGCATGCAAAGTTGTAACAGCTGCATGTTTCAAGTTGTTAGTGAGTCTTCCTCCAATCCTGGTGTTGCAATCTTCTTATAATGGTGGACCTTCCCAATAAACACAATGATTGAGTATGGCGTAAGGAGGCAAGTTTGGAACACAGTTTTCCTGATTTTGAACCATCTAGTAGTCCCATTTTCTGTTAGAATAACTGTTTCTTGGTCTATGCAATTTTCACTTGAACACATTTGCATAGTGAACTTATGTACAATGGAAGGAAACACTGCCAGTCCTGCGCCATCTTCACAATTGTTGGTTTGCTTTAACTTGTTGTTGTCACTGTGTCAATACATCTCATAGAGGGTCTTCCTTTTTTTCTGACCTCCTCTTTACCAAGCATGATGTCCTCCTCTAAGGACTGGTACTTCTGACAACATGTCCAAATTACAAGAGATAACATCTCAGCATCATCAATTCCAAGGAGCTATCCATTCTTTTGGCAGTCTAGTCTATCCTATATTCAATATTCTTAGCTAATATTACAATTAAAATGTGATGATTCTTCTCAAATCTTTCTATTTCTTGCTCACCTTTTGCTTGCCTATGAGTTAATTGAAAATATCATGGCATACCTTACTCCTCAATGTGACATCTTTGCTCTTTATAACACTGGGTGCTTCTTCCATCTATTTTTGATTCTTCCTGCTATGAACTGTCAATTCAATTTAAGCTTATAGTTATTCTATATAGTGTATCTAAAGAGTAGCTGGTGGGTTTGCAACATTGCTATTGTGGTTAGCAATGCAGTGCTTATCCTACAGCACCACACCAAAACTTTTGCCCATTCAATTCTTTCCTATTATGATTCAAGGCTTGAATATTTTCTTGTTTTTTTAACTTGCACAGTGCCAAATACCCAAGTACGTTCTTCCCTTTTGATTTCTAACTCCAGGCCTTGGTACATTTCATTATAATATTTTTATGTTCTCAGGCTGCCCTTTGAAATGTTTTGTTTAGCTCTTTGACATCGTATCGTCTGTTTACTTTATCTACACTATGTCCTAGAGCTAGTTTCAGAGTTTCTTATGGTTTGCATTTTGGTCTTTCCTTTCTTCTTAATGACCTTTTGCTTTCTTCATGTATGATATCCTTGGTATCATCCTTCAGCTCACAGTCTTTGGTCATTTGCGTTCAGTGCACCACATCTCGTCTAGAGATCATGTCTAAATTCAGAATGCATACATTCAAAGTTGTATTTTTTTTTTTTAATTAAACCCACATTTTAATTTTACTCATTAAAAACTTTATTATCAAAGAAACAACTTGGAAAAGGGAATCCTCTGCTCAGGGACAAAGACAGGCCCTTTAAAGAGAGAAGGGAGTCTACAAGCAAGCATTAATAGCAGGGGCAGGCTTAAATGGTGAAGTTATAGGAAGGAAAATCTTTGCTAACTACTGGCTCATAATGTTGGTTAGTGGATATTAGAACTCTAGGAGACCTCACAAGTAATCAAGAGCAGGCAGCACGCTCAGCACCCTAGATTATCTATCTATTTCTTCTTTAGGTCTTGACGGATCACAGCATGGGAGGTGCGTATGGGAGGTAGTAGGTGGTGGGGTGAAGGGGTTGGTGGTGGAGTGTGGTGGGGGTAGAAGGGAATGGGGTGCTTCCTATTTCCCTATTTCTGTCTACTCACATGGAGAGGGAGGACTCTGGTCATCAAGCTCAGGCATTAAGGCACGCCTAAGGCTATCAGGGATAGGAGTGGAGATGGAGTCCAGGCCCAAAAACCAAGGGGAAGAAGAAGAGGAGCTGGAAGCAGGAGAACTAGGGGGAGAGGGGGAGGAGGAGCCCTCACCATAAAGCATAGGTAAAGGAAAGAATCTGCCAGGAGGCGAAGGTGAGGAGGCACGCATGCGGACAGGACGATTAGATTGGGATGCAAGGCTTGGGACCTCAGAATCAGGAGGATTGGAAAGCCTTGGGGAGCCCAGCCTTCTAAAGGAGACACCAGAGGAAGGCGGATTCTGGCCAGCCAGCTGAGGTGGAGAACGGCTATGAAGGGTGGATCTTTGCTGGACACGGCCAGGCGTCATAAGGCTGCTGCGAGAAGACTGGCCAGTAGGGGTGCAGACGCTGCTGCGGTAAGCGAGAGGCGCCATGCAGTGGCTACAAGTAGCTCCAGGCTGTACGGTGCGGTAGAGGCTTCGGCCACGCGCAGGGCCTGGTGGTGGGCAGCTGCACCTGTGAAGAGCAGGAACTGGCGATGGGAGGTGGCAGCGACGGCGACGGCGACCAAGTGATTCTGCACCGCGGAGGCCGCAGCGGCGGCGCGCGGTCAAGAGCCGGGCCTGATGATTCAGCGCGGTGTTGGCGGCGACGGCGGCCAAAAGCCGGGCCTGGTGGTTCCACGCGGTGCTGGCGGCCACGGCGGCCAAGAGCCGGGCCTGGTGGTTCCACGCGGTGCTGGCGGCCACGGCGGCCAA